TCTACTAAGTCACAATTAAAGTTACCATGTTAACCTTTATTAGAGCCAGGAGTTTTCCATAGTGACTTTATTATTCTTGTGGGTGGCAAAAGTTCCTTTGCAGTTGAGCTAAATAAAGGTCTGCTAATGCCATCTGAATTTCTGGATCTTTTATAATGAAGATGTGAATCATGAAGTTGTATTCATTTAAAATAAAACCTTGAGCCTGGTATACTGGCAACACCTTTAAACCTAGCACTCAGGAGATAGAGGTAAGTGAACCCTCATAAGTTTGAGACCAGCCTGATCTATGTAGCAAGGCCAGCCAGGACTACATAGATAGACCATGTCTGAAAATGAATGAATAAACAAGATAAAATAGAATCTTCAGGAGAAATGAATCCATGATTATAATGAATTTACTACTTCAGCTTGCAATGTGGTTTTATATTATTATTCATTTGTAAAACAAAGAAACAACAATGTATATATTTTTTGGAGGGGAAAGCAATACAGCATAATTCATCTTATTATATAAAAACACTTGAAGGAAAAGAACGAGACAAAAACTCCCATTGCTCATATTCTCTAGCTATTAGAAATGGCTTCCTGCTTCACCTCCAAAGACCCAGCCTTGAGTGTATTAGAATAGCTTCAAAGATCCTAAGGGCGGAAAGAAAACAGTTATGAAGTTTGAGATTTAGGACTGACAAATGAAGACAGGAAATCTTTTACTTGGTTTTCCTTAGATATTTCTGCAGATTCTGATGTATAGTTTTTTTTTTTTGTGTGTGTGTGTGTGTTAAATAGCAATGAAGATGACAGGTTCTGTAGTTTATGATAAGCAATAGGAATGAGTTTTACTCGACTAAATACCTATGTAGAAGTAGCTATAGAAATGTGGAAACAAAACTACCTTATACTTATTTTTTGCAGTGATACAGTTATAAATTCAGAGCTTCATTTTTTACAAAACTACAACTTGGGCCCCATTTAAAATTTAATACGAACTGCATTTATTAGACCTTTAACTGTAAGTTTGCATTTCCTCTAAAGACCTGCAAATGAATAGAAATAAATAAATTTTTAAAAATTTAACCTCGAGTTTATGCCCCCAGCATACATCTTGGTACCACTGCCAGCCCCCCTCCCCCAATACATCAAGTCACATAACTGTCACCCACATTCAGAGGGTCCATTGGGTCCCATGCAGATTCCCCAGCTGACATCCCAAATGCTCAAATGACTCTCAGCGATGGATCACTTGGCTTGTGCGCCCATGAAAAATGTCGCTAGCTTTGAGAATTAATGTGAATTGCAAGAAGGAAAATCTTAACATTTTTTGTTTCTCATTTTATGCATTAGTAATAATAAATGACTATTAACCTCAGCGTTAGCTGCTTAACTGTGGCACACTCCATGTTCTATTTGAACTAATAATGGGTCCAGAACCAGGGACTGCTAATGCTGATATTTCAGAAATGCCTCCCTCCAGGGCTTTTTTTTTTTTTTTTTGAGTGTGCACTCAAAGCTCAGCATTTTGCAACAGATGAAAATTGTTTAATCTTGCAAGGAAGTCATGTGTTGTCTCTGAGAGCCCCTTTCTGGCACTGAGGAAGCTTCTCTGGGTTTGCACAGTCATGCCTAAGCATTGTGTCCTGTGTGGGCGGTATTTGCTTGCTCAGGCATATGACAAAGATGGTTTGGGAAAGGAAACTTCTGCCGCTTGAAGTTACTAAGAAGTTTCGCTAACCGTAAAACCAAAAAGCATTCTCCTGTGATGACTTAGGTGGAAAAGTCTTCTCTCTCAGTATTCAAATACTACTTGCATTCGGACTCTGTTACGTGACTGTTTGTGCAGCCGCATATGGTGATGGTACATTTATTAAAACTCGGTGTTTCTTTTCTTTTTTTTAAATGATGTTTTATTTTTTAAAATTAGCTTACAAGTGTCCAGATGATATTTTTTATTGATATTCCACTTTGGTTTAATAACTGCCCACCCCGCCCCGCCCCGCCCCGCTCCCCACTCACTATTCCCTTTTTCACTTTGTTCTATTGTCTTTCCTACCCCTTTCCTTAAAGCACTGGCCCCTGCCCCCCCAAGTCTGATTGGCTCCTCTCTAGGTTCCTGGCCTGGACATACATTTACTAACTAGTGGCTAGCATCCATATAAGAGAGAGATCACATGGCATTTGTATTTCTGATTAGAATCTTTTCTAATTCTATCCATTTTCCTATGAATTCCATTTTTCCATACAGTTAAACAAAGTTTTATGTGTATCTATATCACATTTCAATTGCCCATTTATGAAGGCTGATTTGGTTCCCTTTTCTTATCATGGTGAAAAGAGCAGAGGCAAACACAATACTCAGGAATGGTAGCTGGCTCGTGCGGTAGACCCATTTTTATCTTCTCAAGAAGCTTCAACATTGATTTCCACAGTGGCTGCCCTAGTAAGGGCTCGCCATCCTCACATCTTTGAAACATTTGCTGTCATTTGCTTTCTTGACGGTGTTTATTCTGACTGGGCTGATAGGAATTTCCCAGACTTAGTGATGCATGCCTTTAATCCCTGAACTCTGGAGGCCAATGTCCACAAGCCTTTGTTAGTTTGAGGCCAGCCTTGTCTACACTGTGAGTTCTAGAACAGCCATGGCTACATGGACAGACCCTGTCTCAAAAACGAAACAAAATGAAGTGGTTTAAAATTATTTTTAGTTTTATTTATGTGTATTTGTATACCACATGTGTGAAAGTACCCATGGGGGCCAGAAGAGCTTTGGCTCCCGTGGAGCTCATGTGACTGCTGGGAACTGAAGTTAAGTTGTCTGAAAGTGTAGGGAGGACTCTTAACTAGTGAGAAAAATCTCTTCAACCCTTAATTTTTAAAATTGTGTGTGTGGTGTATTGTGTGCAGGTGGAGGTCAGAGGTCAACTCATGAAGTGTTGGTTCCCTCCTTCCTCCGTTTGAGTTTCAGGATCAAACTCCAGTCATTAGGCTTGGTGGGCATTGTCTTTACCCACTGAGCTATTTAACCTCCCTCAAACTAGATTTTATTAGCCAGAGGTGTAGAACATTTTAAAATACATCTCTTTTCCATTTGCATTTCTTCTTTTGAGAACTGTTTGTTTATGTCTTTGGTCCTGATTTATTCATTGACAGTTTGAGGGGCTGGTGTGTATTTTTACTGTTCTTTATGCAATCTAGATACTAACCATTCGTCTGGAGTTAGCTGGACAAGATTTTCTCTTATTCTGTAGACTGTCAGTTCACTCTGTTAATAGTTTCTTTAACGGTAAAATTGTGTTTAAACTTTATGTAATCCCATTTGTCAATTCTTGTGTGCAGTAGGAGAGCTATCAATGTAATTTCATTCTTCTGTGGGTGAATATTCAGTATTTCCCCACCTCCAAACAAGGTTTTTCTGTGTACTCTTGGTTGTCCTATAACTCACTCTGTGAACAAGGCTGGCCTCGAACTCTCAGAGATCTGCCTGCCTCTGCTTCCTGAGTGGTGGAACACTGCCCTGTGGATATTGAGTTTTGCTCACATAATTTGTTGAAAAGAATGTCTATTTTTCAAGTTCATATTTTTTTTGTCCTAACTGTGTGTGTTTATTTCTTAGCCTTTTAGTACATTCCATTGGTTTACATGTCTGCAGAAACATAAAAGGCTTTGAATTGCCAAAGCAATTCTCATTAAAAAGAATAATGACCGTTATTTAATGTTTCCATACAAATTTTAGGATTCTTTTTTCTAGTTCTGTGAATAATGTCACTGGAATTTTGATCGGAATTTTATTGAATCTGTAGATTGTTTTTGGTATTATAACCATTTTCAAAACATTAATTATTCCAGTCCAAGAATATGTAAGGTCTTTCCAATATCTATCAGCTTCTTCTATTTTTTAAAAATTTAAAAGTTTTCCTATGTAGGTCATTCACCTTGGTTATGTTTATTCCTAGATTTGCTTTGAGGTTATTGTGAAAGACATATTTTTCCTGACTTACTTCTCAGCAATTTTTTATATGTGTAGACATACATACATAAATGGAGTTCTTAACTGATGTAAGTAATAAAAACCCAGAGTCAAATATAGAGAAAAATGCTGAGAGATCAGAGAGAAAAAGGAACAAGCCACTGCCACACCTTACTTCCTTAGTGTCTCAGCAGACAACAGAGTGATTTCCTGTTACTCCCTGCTTATACTGTTTCCACCCCTCTACCTTACTTCCTGTCTGTCTGTACAGACCTCTAGACCTCTATGGTTAGCTAGTGGCAAGCTCCAATTCTCTGACCTTCAGACAGATATAACCACATATAAAGTCAATTTGTTGCCCTAAAGTCATCTTTGCTCTGTGCATTCATCTTTCCTTTCCTCTGACCCCTATTTACTCTAGCCACAACTTTGCTTTTCCCACCATGCAACATGGCAGCAACAAGTGTGCAGCTTTTCCAGTTTTTCTTTAAATTTAGTCATGTGCATCTGATTTTTCTTCATGTCTTTTAGTGGCCCAATAGCCCTTTTTCCCTCTTTCTTTAACTTGGGATCTCCAAATGTGGTCAAGGGTACCCTTGAACTTCTAGTTTTTCATCTTCTACCTCCAAATTCCTAGAATTACACGAGTATATTATGTCCAATTCTGTACAAGGCTGGGTTTTGAACTCAGGGCGTTGTGTATGCTAAGCAAACTCTCTACCCACTAAGTTATGTCTTCAGATCTGATAATTTCTTTCAAGCACTGAGTGATATTGTCATTTCCAAATGTGATATAATATATTTACCTATTTGTTTACAAAGAATATCTTGTTATCTACATTAGACCTGGCAAGGGGCTGGAAGAAGGAAAGCGGGTTTACTCTACAAACTACTTGACAAAATAAGTGGGAAATAATTGATTAATACCTTATACATGTAATTTTCAAGATGCTGACATATCAGTGATGATTAAACTTCTAATTACTGCTTTACTATGCTTTAAATGTTTAAACACTGTTATTTAAATATTTTCTAGAGTCAAGCTGTATGAATGGGAATCAAACGTCACTGAATAGTTCATTACTTAAGACAGAAGGTACTCTTTTTCGTTATCTTGTGGCCAGCACTGTGGGACTGGAGTATTGACTTGCTCAGAAACAGCAGCTTGTGCCTTGGCTGCTGGACAGATTTAGGATGAGTGACTGTTATCACCACTCAGCAAACTTGTATCCATCATGGACACTTAAAGTAGGTGTACAGGCAGTGGCCTTGAATTTTTGCTTTAGAAAGTGAATAATGTAGTTAATTCTGATAGATTAAACATACAGAACCAAAAAAAAATGTGAGAAAAATCTATTTTTTTTTTCTGAAGTACATTCATTAGTCAAGCAATGCTCTAGTGTAATTTTGTATAAGCTGCTGTGGACAGACTTAACTCATTCTCTTTGTGTCTATGTGTCCAGTTAGCACTCCAGTGTCTGTACAGATGGGTACAAAGGCTCAGCTGTGCTGCCCTCCCATTTCATTGACAAAAACAGTCTTAATAACGTGGAAAATAACCCTCAGAGGCCAGCCTCCCTGCACAATATCCTACAAAGTGGCAACAAAGGAGATCAGTGAAGCCAACTGTACCGACAGGAGAATCACCTGGGCCTCCACACCTGGCCAGAGTCCTCATCTTCAGATCAATACAGTGGCCCTCAGTCACGATGGGCAGTATTTATGTGAGGTGGCATCACATGAAGGGCATTACCAAGAGAGACATGACCTCCATGTTGTAGGTAAGTAAGTTGTCACATATTGTGGTATTTCAGGCCACCAGCTTTTAAATGCCTTTGGAATTAGTGACAAGGCTGAAACTTGTTTTCCATTCTATTTCTACAGTCCCTCCTGAAGTAACCCTGTTTCCAGGGAAAAACAGAACTGTAGTTTGTGAGGCCATTGCAGGCAGGCCTGCTGCTCAGATCTTTTGGGCTCCAGATGGCTATCATGTCACTGAGAATGAATCACACAGCAATGGCACTGTGACTGTCAGGAGCACATACCACAGGGAGCCCAACAATGAGTCTGCTGTGCTCTGCTTTGTCTCCCATGTGACTGGCAACAAGACTCTGCAAATAACACTGAACAGAGGTAGTGAGTACTTCTGTATTTTTTGCTTTTGTTTGTTTATTTATTGTGTTTGCACATTTGCCATACTTAGTATGTGGAGACTAGAGGGCAACTTGTCCTTCTACCAAATGGGATAGCACTTTGGTCTTCAGACTTCACAGCAAATGCTCTTGCCAGCTGAACTAACCACAGGCCCATTTTTTTCTTGTTATTGTTTTCTTCTTCTGAGATATGATCTTTGCAGTCCAGACTGACCTTAAATCATGATCTGCCTATGCTGCCTGAGTGCTGGGATTACAGAGGAGCTGTTTCTTCTCTTAGAGGGAACTGGTATTTGACTTACTCTTTAAGTAGTAGCTAATGAATAACACAACACTGAAGACAATTTGAGTTGTTTACATAGACATTGTTCTAATGCCAGGGAATGAATTGTTGAGCTGGAGAAGTATTTTGTTACTCCATACCAGGTGGGAAGAATTGCCAATACTAAATACTTCTTATCTGTACTCCCTAAATGCCTTTCATTAGGTTCACCATAAAACATTGTCTTACTTCAGTGATGTGTAGACGTTAACTCTCAGATTATCAAATAATACATCAATAATTGCGGTGTTCCTTCTCTTCCTGGTTTCTCTGCTTCTTCCAGTTGTTCAAAGTGAGAATCAGATTTCCCTGCTCATTCTGTCTTGTCTTCTGAAGCCAATATTTATCAGAAATTATGTATACATTTGAAGCTTGTGATACAATGATAAAAGTGAGAACATCCACAGCTTTATATTGAGTTTCAGAATGCAATATGACAGCTAGGAGCAAAGTCTTTGTACAGCATGACGTCTCATTCACAGCTGTATAAATATGGATATCATTCAAAACGTTCTGATAACAGTCCCTTTCTTTTTCTATCTGAGGAAACAGGGTGGGTTAGTATACTGCAAAAACAGCAAGTAATAGAACAATGTCCTACATCATATTTTTTCTTAAAGACATCTTTTATTTTCTTTCCTTTTTTTGAATCAATAAAGGGATTGACATTTTTCTTAGTCTCTGAAAGGTATAAAACACATTTTTAAAGTTTTTCTTTTCAAAAAATATTATTTTGCAATATATATGCTTATTATTATGTTGATCATACTCTTTCCATTATCCTCCCATTATCCTTCCATTGAACCTCTTCTTCAAAGCATGATCTCTTCTATTTCTTCTTTTTTTTTTTTTTTTTGGTGTGTATGGCACTTTGTATTTAATTCAGGTTGCTTGCATGAGCATGGATAGGGAATTATATAACTGAACAACTTATGAGCCCTTCCCCCATCAGTGGGGGAATGTTGAAGAGTTCAGTCTTGTACATGCAGCCGCTGCTACTGTGAGTCCAACGCCCATTTTATGCTGGAGTTTTGTATTGCTCCTTCCCATCCTCTGGCTCTTACTTTCATTCTACCCCTCTTCTTCTGTGTTCCCTGAACCTTGGAGGCAGTGATAGAGATACAGTGTTTAGGACTGAACACTCCATTTAACAATGGCTTGTTCTCAGAACCTTGAGCAGTTATGTGTCCCTGCATTAACTATCCCCTTTTGCAAACAGAAAGTTCTCTGACCAAGATTGAAAGCAGCACCAATCTATGAACATAGTATTTAGAAGACAGCATGACACCAATGTCCATTTAGCAAAGCAGCGGTGGTTGCCCTTCCTCCCCAGGGCTCATTGTCTTTCTCACTACTTGGTTTTGAGCATGTTTCAGTACCAGACATGAATGCCTCCTTCATTTTATTAGTGAAAAAAAACCCTATTATCTGTATGTATCATCTTTGAACCATAAACATTTCCTGTCTGTCATTACAGGTGGCAAAGCATTATTACGATTATATATTTCATACATCATCCCACCCATTCTTACTAGTATTTTGATCATCGTAGGATGCATTTGGCTTTTGAAATTCAGTGGCTTCAGGTATTAAGTGATGATTTTTTTTCTTCAATCTTATTGGATTAGAAAAGGCTGAGGAACATGGGACTGCCTGATATATTGGGAGTAACAATAGTGTTCTCATGAGCAAAAAAGGCATGTGAAGTGTTAGACTGGGACAACCCTGCATGGGGACAGTGTTTAGTGAGCTGCTCGGGCGTGCAAACACTGAGATTCAAGCCAGTAACGGCTGAGAATCTGGGAATGCTATTTTTTTAAATTTGATAAAATAATTGCCATAATTCTTTCCATGTAACAAAGAGATCATGTCACATATATTTTATTGCATCAAGTTCCTATCTCAATATTTTGCTTTTTTTTTTTTTACCTAAGATCCAGAGTTTTCTTATTTTGTATAATAACTGCAAATCAATGTATTCCATTCATTTTGGATTTACTGAGACTTACATAATAGTTATCAGAATAATTCAATACTATAATTGTTTATTCTAAACAATGATGCTGCTTGCATTCACTCTAGATTATCTTATTTTATTTTTAAGAAAATGTAAACGGACAAGACCAGATGCTTCTCCAGTTGTTGAGGAGGTAAGATAAATGAAAAGAAATATTTGTGAACTTTAAAGCCACATGGTCTTAAACCTAGTAACATAATCTGTAATTTGTATTAATATTTATGTTTTAGTTGAACAAAACAATTCCAATTTACACTGTTAGTAGTCAGTCTTACTTACTCTGCTAATCATCTATCAGATAGTACTTATAATCTGTCCAATACACCTTTCCAACTGAAAAATTCCATCTTTGTCACTCTTGGACTGTAATCTCTGGAGAAATCAAGTAGGTGTTTCCTTCTCCAGGAACTTGTGTCTAATTCCTGACTTCCCCTTTTCAGAACCACCAAAGATTTTCTCTCATCCAGGCTTTAAACAGCCTTCCCCTTAGTCTCCTGTAACCAGATTCTTATTGTCTTTGACTCATCTCTTTGAAATACTTCTCACATTACTCTGCTCATTTACATTTCTACTTTCACCCACCAACCATATCACCCAAAACATAGATAATCAACAGATGTTTGACAGATGATTAGAACAAAGCCTTGCTCACATAAGTCAGAGATACATATATGAGCATTACTAGTAGTTAATAGCATGGTAGGGGAAAAAAGGTAATTTGGGTAATGATTTCTTGCTCTTTTGAAGGGATTTTGACTTTGAGCTTTTTCCAAGGATGAAATGCAACCTTATGCTAGCTACACAGAGAAGAGAAATCCACTCTATGACACTGTGACCAAGGCGGAGGCTTGTCCAGCATCGCAAGGTGAAGTCAATGGCATGGACTGGCTTGCTTTATCAGCCACTGAAATCTATCACCAAGAAAAATGAATCAAGAGACAGCATAATTACTGTTTTTCTTTTCTTAAGATTCTACATTGGAAAGATGACATGGGGATTAGCTCTTCAAACGTTCTTAGGAAGCACACATGTTTCTAATGGATTTACATCTATAGTCTTCTATGACTGGCGGTTTGGAATTTTTGCTGCTACCAGTTAGTCCTTTGAAGAAATGATGTAATTATTACAAAGAAAGCACATGGTTATGATACAGTATCAAATTGTGCAATACAGTATGATGAAGACTGAATTTCTTCCAGACATAACTACAAAAGGAACAATCATTACTAAAGAGTTTCTCATGAATTCTTCCAAAAAATTTCTCTGTATATGACATGCCTATGACATATGTGTGCATTTATATGTTTATTTACATATGTGTATACATGCACACATCACCTTGTCAAGACAATTCCTTGTCAAAACATGCTGAAATACTAGACTTATAAAAGTTAATAATGTAAATCTTAAAAATCTTTTTATAACAACATAAGCAAAACTACCTCATTCTTTTCAATGGCTATGTAAAAATCCACTGTAAGACTACATTGTAATTTAATTAATCATGATCCTTGGATGGGCCTTTAGATTTTGTTTTCTGTGTGGTATTAAACAATACCAAGTAGAATGTTTCTTGTGGATAATCTCTGCATTATTTGATCACATTGTGAGATAATTTTTTGAGTGTAATTGTTTTGTCATTTTACATTCCCACCAATTGTGTTTGGATGTATCTTTCTCCACGTTCTTATTCTTGTATCTTTAATAATCTCACAGTTTTAATTAACCAGTTGGGTGATGTGTCTTAAGATTATGATATTAACTCTATTATTTAGTGGAAGTGGATTCATGTCTTTGTCATGTCTGCAAGAGAGACAGCATTTGTAATGAGAGTACTTCTCAACTCCTTGTATAGCTACAGGAATACTGACATCTCATGCATAACAGTTTTACACATGTTAGGAGTTGTGTACTTTTAACGTTGTGTTCTGTTGTATTTATTAAATAGCAAGTGTCTTTGGACTATCTCTGTAGGTGGGACAACTTGGGAGTATTTGCACGCTGAAAGGATGGCAATGCTTTTCCCTCCATTTTTGTTAAGAGGGAGATATGGGGAATACAAATATTGATAATTTTTAACATATTTTTAATTGTTAAAAATAAACCTGTTTTCCTTTAATATCAGGAAAAATATTTAAGATGGTATTTTTAAAAATCTTATTTTGTGTTCTTTGTTCTTTTGAAACAAGGCCTTGCTGATATCTAAGGTAGTCCCTAGACTTACTATTGAGCCCAGGCTGGCCTTCCAAGAACTGTGATTACAACTATGTGGCAACATACCCACAAAAATTTATTTCATTACAATAAAACAGTAGAAATTAAAACAAGACCCACCCACTCTTCATATATCCCAACTGAAACAGTTCAGGTAACTCTTTTGTATATTAAAGTATTTTTTTCTTTTCTTTCTGGAAAATGATCTCATTTCATTCTTTCTGTTTCTCCCTGCCCTCACTCCACTTTGGAAGTTATGCATTATAACATATATGGCTATGCTTTATTTTTGAACATCTAAAAATAGTAGTATGGAGGTATAATTGAAATTTAATGTTTACCCATTTTTAAATTTTTTATTAAATTTCTTAGCTTACTTTACATACCAACCACAGTTCCCCCTTCCTCCGCTCCTCCTGTTACCTTCAGCCACTTCCTGTCTATCTCTCCTGCATCAACTCCTCCTCCATTCAGAAAGGGACAAGGTTTCCATGAGAGTCAAAAAAACATGGCACATCAAGTTGCGGCAGGACCAATCTCCTTCCCTGGCATCAAGGCTGGCCCAGCATGGGGAATTGGTTTCCAAAAGCCAGCTCAAGCACCAGAGACAGGTCCTGACCCCACTGCTAGGGGCTCTACAAACAGACCAAGCTACACAGCTGTCACCCACATGCAGAGGACCTAGGTCAGTCCTGTGCAGGCTCCCTAGGATTTATCTTTGAATAAGTCAGACTTTTCTAGTGGAAGAGATCCAATAGAAGGAATATTCTGGGAGAGCCACTGGTCTTCAGTCCACATGAAAAAGGCAAAGAAACTGAGTCCTGATGTCTGTGAAGAAGGAAACAGCAGACGCAGCTGCTGCACGGGGTTTGCTATGGAAGTATTTACCTGTATTTGGTCATCTAGACACTCTTAGGGCATTTTGGCCTTGGACCAAGCATGTCCTACTACTGTACCATCTGGCAACAGACCTGGGTGTTATATAGACATACAGAATTCAAGTGTTGTGGATGCTGCCACTAAGATGCAAAGGAAAGCCTGGGAGGCATCAGTTCCATCAAGAATATTGGCTTATAGTTCTCATTTCTTATGTCTTTTGCTTTGATATCAGTGTGAAATTGAACTGGAAAACTACAGATCTGGGGAAGAGGTTGGAAGGCTTGGTAATTGTTATTCTTTAAATGTTAGAAATTTCCAGTGAAGCCTTCAGGTCCTGAATTCTTATTTGTTTGTTTGTTTATTTATTTATTTTTGATTGAGAGTTAGTTTAATCTCACTACTAGTTGTATTTATCCAAACTATTTTATTTACTCATACTGCTTCTCTGTGGGCCATATGCTTCTGAGATTCCCTACTTCTCTTCAGTTATTGGTTGGTGGTTTGCAATTATTCATGGTAGTCTCTAATGATATTCTAATTTTCAATTATTATTATTCCTACAGTATTAGCATCAGTAGATGTACAGTAGTATAGAGACAGGGGTATCACTATGTCACCCTCTCACCCTCTTGCCCTCACCTCCCAAGGGCTGGGATCACAGATGTGAAGCACTGTTCCTGGTTTTCTTACAATATTTTTGTTTCTATGATATCAGTTGTAAAGCTTCCTCTTTTGTTTTGGCATTATGTATCTGTATCTCCCCCCTTCTTTTTTTTTCTTGATAAATCTACAGGTATCAGTTTTGTTTATATATGTTTTAAAAATTTAAATTTTAGTTTTATTAATTTTTTCTATTATTTTCTGTTTTTCATTTTCCTTCCCTCCCTCTCTTCCTCTTTCCTTCCTTCCTCCCCCTCTCCCTCTTTCCCTCCTTCTCTCCCTTTCTTCCTTCTCCCCCTTCTCTCTTGCTCTCTCATACTCTTTCTTTCTTTCATAATAGGAATTGAACCAGGGCCTTATCCATGCTAAGCAAGCACTATGCCATTAATCTATACCCTGGCCTTCTCATCAAACTTTTGTTCTTTCATTTCTTATGTTAACCTTCAGTTTAGTGTTTTTTTCTATTTCCAGATCTTTGATATATAGTTATATTTTTCATTTGACATTTTTAAAAATGTAGGTATTCAGCATTATAAACTTTAAGGTTTTTAAAAGTTTTCCTTTACTCTTTGATCTACTAGTTGTTCAAAGATATGTGAATTTTCACACATTTGTGAAATTTTTTTTATTAACACAGAAAAATTAGTTATGTATTTATACCCTGATAACCATTTATATGGAAAGGAAATTGAAAAGTAAATTTTATATGCAGTAATATCAAAGAGAATAAAGTCCCTAGAATTTTAAATTGAGGCAGAAAAAAAAGTACTGAAAACTATAAAACATTTATGAAAAAATTAAGATTTAAACAAACGAAGACATTTTGTTTATTCATAGATTGGAAAACTTATAATTATAGGTCAAAAGATCTGCAGGTTCAATACAATCTCTATCAAAATCACAAGGACATATTTTATAGAAATAGAAAAATTTCTGACATCCATATGAACCTATAAAAATTTCTGAACAGCCAAACAATTATAAATGAAAACCAAACCTGGGGACATCACACTTTCTTATTTCAAAATACATTATAAAGCCACAATAACTAAAATTGCATACTATTGTTATAAAGATAAATGAGTATAAAGTAGTATAATGTAATAGAGAAAGCAGAAATAAATCCGTGAATATTTTAAAGATTTATTTTTACTTATACACACGTGTGTGCATGTCAGCATGTGGGCGTGTGCACACGACTCCAGGTGCCCTTGGAGGCCAGAAGCATCAGCTCCCTTGGAGTTGGATTTATAGGAAGTTATGAGTTGCCTGACTAGGGTGCTGGGAATGGAACTGAGTCTCCTGCATTAAAACAAAGTTTAAGGAGAACATTTTCCTTAAATAACTGCATTTTGTAATTTCCCGTAGGAGCAGCAAGTGCTCCTAATCACTGGTCTGTCTTTTCAACCCCAACCCATACATATTTATGTTAACTGACTTCTGGCAAGGGTCTAAAGAATACACGATAGAGAAAGGATAGTCTCCCCACCAAGCAGTATATATCCATATGCTGTATGTGAGTCAAATCTGACCTCTGTGTTATTGTGTGTGCAAAAGTCAATTTAAATCTCAGGGTAGATGAGGATAATAAGATACACATGCATTGTCCTTTCACCAAACACTGTCACTTTGACCATCAAAGCACCAAAGAAGTGGTCTATCTCATAGCCGATATCAGCCCCTGGTGATAATCTATACGTTGGAGAATTAAATGTGGATATCACAGTGACTTCTTTTTTTTTCTCATAATAAGGTAACACCAATTGCTTCTTTTGGCTAGCCAAAGAGGAACCAATGTCAACCATGGGGGCTTGGAGGGTGCCACAGGATAAACCCAAAGGACTGGGCTATTTCCTGCAAAGAGAATGTGTGAGCAGAAACTTCAACCTGTGGGAAAATGTCCTCAGTCTTCATCTTCACACTCCATGAAGAAAACCTGTTTGTGGTGGGAGACAGCATCTCCTAAATTGCCACAGCTGTAGAACACCGACCAGAGGAAAGAAAGGTGAAACAAAAGTGTGCAGATGCTAATACTGGTGTTTGGGTGGAGAATTCGTTCTGTGGAAGTCACCTGATAGGTCATCTAATTCCAGTTTGTCAATCCTAAACACATGCACATACAGGTAACACTGAAAGAAAGGACTCAGTAGGTAGGATGTGTGTGTGTGCACAAGCATGCGCATGTGTGTATGTGGTACGTAACAATAATAACTGAAGAAGAGGTCATGAAATTCAGAGAGAGTGGGAAGGCATGGGGGGGAGCTGGATGGGAGTGAGAAAGAGATGGGAATGATGTAAATTAATTACTCATATATGAAATCTCAAAAAATAAATTTTTATTAGTTTACAAAACACTAGACTCCCATATAGGATTTTTCATGGTTATTTCATTTTGTTAGATTCTGCTCCTTATCCCTTTCTCTGCTGTACCTTTTGTCCTCGCTGTTCAATGGCACTAATCCTACATCAGCACAGAATTGAAATGTCTGCCCTCAGCTGTTCTATCTGGAGGTGTCCTTGTCTCTCACTCCCTTTACTGGTCCTGTCTTAACTTATTACCCTTCCCTTGGACAGTGGCAAGAGATTTCTAACCCATAATTCCTACATCTAGTCTCTTTTTAAGGGTCATGTTTCAGAATGCAACCATATATCCTTATACATTATTCCATCAACACCTGTGTTTTCCAAGCTCTCCAACAGCCAATTCCCCACTTGTTCTGCATATTTAATGACACACGTGTCTCTTGTCTTCCATACACTCCTGTTATTGCATGTGCTCTTCTCATGGAAGAGCATGTGCTCTTCTCATGGAATCCCT